GAGTATTAACAAGTTAAACAAGGAGTCCTGTCGAGTTCATTTATCTTCTCTCCTTCGATCTCGACTGAAACAAGGCCCCGGCCAAGTTTTGACAAGTCGCTCTCTCGACTTCTTGGCATTGAGAAGGAGCAATGGCGAGTTAAACAAGTCGCCTTTTCGCTGCACATGTAAGCTTTCGTTTAAGCTGCAGGGTTGCGGGGGGCGGAAGAGGTGAGGGGAGGGGAGGGGCGGGAGGGGGAGGGGCGGGAGGGGAGGGGCGGGAGGGGAGGGGCGGGAGGGGAGGGGCGGGAGGGGCGGGAGGGGGAGGGGCGGGAGGGGGAGGGTGCATCGAGTTCGCTCAATACAAGTTTAACCTATTATGATGAAAACATATTCCTGCTTTAGTTCCCGGACTAAATTAATAATCTGTTGTTATGCTATTGGATGGTTACCAGCTAGCTCTGGTGGCAAAGAACTACGATGCTCCCAGAAACCATTGAAAGAGAATCGGTCCGTACAAGTCTTGTAGTCTATCGATGTTTTTCGTTTTCTTTTTTTTTCATTTTACATTCAGGATGCTTTAAAAAAAAAACAATCAGTGCCCTTCCCCTGCAGATAAGTGCCCCCACTTCGTCTCTCATAAGTAGCTTTTCAAAAATGAGAAGTGCCCCTTTTACTACTGTTAAGTTCCCCATTTCCTTAATAATGAATATTTCTTCTTTAAAACAAATCGAATTGGGCTTAGTGTCCCTTTTCAAATGTGATAAGATCCTTTTGAGAAATCGATAAGAGAAATTCACAACAACTGCTATGCACATCAACAAATCAATCATATTGCAAAGAGGCATTATTACAACAGGGGCTATGACAAGAAATTCCTTCCTCCCTAATTTAAAGCAAGTGAGAGCACTATTTTATGATATTACCTCAAAGCTGATTTGCTAACACTCGTCCTTGGAACTATATTAACTAAAATTTAGGGATACACATGTTTACACAATTGTATTTTCCGGAGAGCGGTAACACTTTGTCGGTACCCCCATCTTTCCTCCAGACTTATACTACCCCCCCCCTCCCTACCCCTCCCCCATTTTTAAAGACGCCTCGCCACCCCTGTGCACTATTTATCTTTTGTACATTGCTTCTTGCTCTTAGGTTATCACGGTCGGAGGGTCGAGAAACCGTATGAATGGCGCGAGCGATGATCGTATCGGAATCTCCAATTACGGTCCTTGTGTCGACATCTACGCCCCAGCAAGAAATATCGACCTCGCTGCCCCTTCCGGAAGCAGTAATTCCAACTACCTAAGATCATCCGGCACCTCCTTTGCAACCCCTGCGGTGGCAGGTAGGAAAAATCAATAATAATAATTAAGACAGCCATAATTATGATCATAATAATCATATTAATAGTAATAATAATAATTAATGATAATAATGAGGGGAAGGTTGCAGTCGGGTTTTAGGTAAGAGGTATGATTAAACCTAACCTTAAAAATCTTCAAATTTTTGTTCCAGGGTTGAAGTTATGAATTCGGTTAGTATATGGTAAAGGTAAAGGAATGTCCTCGGATTAGTACAGCAACAAATGATTTTTTCGCAGAATGTATCTAATGTTGATGCGTGGTTAACATGTGCGCTATGAAATATATATTAGGCCTCCAATTTAAACTAGTATTATAATTAATATCATTATTATTATTATTATTATTATCGTTATTGTTACTCCTATTATTATCATATCTTTAACGGTTGGTGTACCTAGGTGCTGCCGCCATGATTCTGTCCACCACTAGCTTGACACCTACTGGGAGTGAGACAATGACCGATCTCGTCCTGGACATCCTTATTGCGACAAGTGCCAAGGACAAGCTGACGAGTCTTCCAGCTAGCAACGCCGCGGTTTTACCTTCCAATAACCGCCTTCTGAACGTTGTCAGCAATACTTATTACGCATAAACCCCCGTGGGTGTAGTTGGTGATGACAATGTACCATGGTGATTGACATTTTCATTTTCATTGTCTTTGTCATTGACATGGTCATTGTAACCCTGGTAGAAGACAACTTTAACTTTGAATTGAGTAATAGCTGATTAAAACATAGATGAATTAATATAAGTAACGGTATCAAACGCTTCTATCTTTTATTTAAATGAAAATTTCGTTTTATTTTCTCGATATTATTGGTGGTTAGTTTTTGTTTCTTGCTAAAACTGTTTTTAACTAATCTTTCTTTTCATTTCCACTTCATATCATTAAGTTTATCATGATATCACAAATTCGTACTTCAAACAAAAAATACTGTAGCAGTACAATTTCATTATTCAGGGGGGGGGGGTCGGTGAGGTTTAGACAATTCTGCTATTCACAGGATCATTTACAAGTATCTTCATTTCTAGATTAGAGTATGTAGTTTTTGGTTATCCATATTTGTAACAACCACAATAAACCAGATATCAACTGGATTGAGTTAGAGCATTTATTGGTAGTTTGTTTTTGGACCTTGGGCGTATTTTCTTTTTGTGCAGTGCGCGTCTTGAAAATATACCACTTAGGGAGTATAAGCTCCTAATATGTATATCATGTACAATTAGATAACGATAATTTATTGTGTCCACTCTCAAGCGGCATACGTATTGTCGTACATGCTGTCCCTTTTTCTTTACCATGTATTCTAAATATTGAAAATTAAGCTATGAAATGATGATAATAAACGAATGATATTGTTAGTTAGAATATATTTCTTGGTTTTTGTAGTTTCTTGTTCCGAGTCTAATCGAAGTGCAACCCATTAAGATCCTTTGAAGGATTAATACAAAAAAGAGTCATGATATTTACGAATGCCAAAAGGATTGTAAGGAGAGGGAGAGATAGATATATAGAAAGAGAAAAATAGAGAGGAGAAAGAGGAAGAGATAGGGGAGAAAGAGGAAGAGAGAGGGGGAGGGGGAGAGAAAGAGAAAGAGATAGAGAAAGAGAGAGCTAAACAGAGGAGGGGGATACATATGAAAAGAGAGAGAGAGAGGGGGGGGGGGGGAGAGAGAGAGGGGGAGGGGGAGAGACATATAAACTGAAAGAGACATTGCATCGTCTATTCTCACACCCCTCCCTCTCCCTCTCTCTCTCTCTCTCTCTCTCTCACACACACACACACATACATATACACACGTTTTATCAGTCTGTCACTGGCTCTTTCTCTCTCTCCCAAACATACCCACACGAGCGTGCGCTCTTTCTCTCTCTTGTTCTTTCTCTTTTCCTCCCCTCTCTCTCCATTCTCTTTTTAACTCTCTATAATTTTTCTCCAATCTCTTCCATCCTCTCTCCCCCACACATGCACTAAGAGCCTACATTAGACCCCATTTGACCCATTACTTAGGCCGTGGACTACAAGTCCCCACTTATATGGTTAGTGGGAGAAAAGGGTTGTTGGCCAACAGAGCCCCCCCCCCCCCCCCCGAACAGACCCACATTCGGATTTCACCCTCAGTTTAGCCCATGCAACAAACTTGGTCAAAAGAAAGCACTTTCACTATACACAACGGTCAGGCGCCCCTAAAATTGGGTTTATTTTGTTTGCATTGATAGAGCATGGACCAATTATGTCCGAAGAAAGAAGTATGTCTGTGGTTTATTAAAAACTAAAAGAAGTTCCCATGGTTGTTGAGAGAGAATGTCAAGAGAGTGTCAGAAACCAAGTAAGCTGTAATAGGTAAATTACAGGTAAATATCTTTTGTGATCGTACCACCGTAATAATTTTTGTGTTTGAAATACACAGTTAAACTTTATTTCGATAACATCTGGTGCATAAAATTCATTTAGGACAGAATCATAAGACAAATCGTGAGTCTACAAATGTGATTTTAAACCACGAATTCTTTATTTTAATATATCTTTTTTCTTTAAGCACGATAATCATACGTCAATTTGAAAAACACAAAATAGGCATCGTATAACAATTATAAATGTTAACTCATATGTCACTTAGCAGTGTCATGATTGCGCCTTTACATAGTTACTGCCAGTGCTCTTTTAAATTGAACTCAATTTAAAGTAATATTATGTATATCAAGAAAATGAATTAATACCACATTACTACAAAGGACCTAAACAAGGAAGACTGAGAACCTAACACAGAATTCCAATGACAAGGGTTCATCTGATCTATACCTTTATAACACAAGTAATTTGACTTGATATAAAACCATTTGACAGAGCAGTTAAACGAAATGTTATGGATCACATAATATTCTTTACACAAACAAAATTATCAACACAAATCATTTTGAAATCCGAGAATTCACAGACTTCAAAATTACCATACATGAAAACAGCATACTCCAAAATAATTGTATGCAATTTGATTTCGATAGAGAGTGACAGCAATAATAGTATAATATTTATACATCTGATTATTTATTTATAACAGTTATAAAAGTGAACGATATTTGTATTCTGATATCAAAATTGTACACGCATCAAATAACATAGGAACAGTAACATAGTACTTGTAGCAATACAAAAGGATTACATCAATGAAATATCAAGGGTGAAAAGGTATATACTGTAAAATCAACAGTACAACATAGACACATACATTAAATAAGAATATTAGGGTGTTTAATGAAGTAACTGTATCTGTACCTGTAAGGGAGAAAAATGTACAGTTCATATAGTTACGCTTATATTTGTAACAAAGCAAATATATTAAACAAATCACTAAAACATGTGTTACAATAATATATATATCAGCGCAGTTGATTAGTAGAAGTAGTAACAGTATAGTTGGAATTGTATAGTTAGTTATGTTACATCAATATGAGCAGATTACATGAATGAGATGTGACATAACATAATACTAGAGAATGACACAACAAACACATGCAATATATACACATACAATGAAATAATTAGAGTTAGGGTTTTAAATTACAAGTTGTATTGTACGTTAGGGATAAAAGATAGATAATTATACGATATGAATATATATATGTATATATATATATATATATATATGCTTACATTTCAAAGATACACAAATCGAGTATAACACAAATCATTAGACTATTTATTATGTATTAGCCATTAGCGCATTTGATTAGAGTTTTAGTGCTTCAAAGTTTAAAACAATTATTAATAACATACAAATAGCAGCAGCAGCAATATTAGTTAGAAGCGCTGTTGATTAAAACATGTTATAGAGTAATGCAACTTACCAGGCAATAATAATTATACATCACATACCCATGGCATGCGAAAAAGCGATTCGTAAATCTTACGTAAAATTAGTATCATTACTAAATTATACAAAAAGAGTTATACTCGGATAGTATGAATGTATGATATATCAACAGTATAATGGGTCATACTGGTGATATTAGTCATGCTGATTTATTGTTGGTTATTCATTGGTGTTAGAAAATCTGTATTGTTATTAGAATATTGTCATTAGGAAAGTAGTATTGTTTTAAGGAAATTAAGTTAAAGAACAAAAATGTTGTTGGCGCACCTAACACAATATTGAAGGTAAGAAGAACTACATAGCAAGTGAGATTTGAATATATATAAAAAAATTACTGCGACAAATAAGACATTTCCATATAAATATAGATATACAAATATAAATATGATAATCAACGCTGAAAAGTATTTTTTATAAATTTCATCCGTATATAAAATATGCTATCATTTTGCTTGGCATACATTAATTTTCTTATGTTTACAAAATATCCAAATAATGAAATGCATACAAATTGCCATAATATAAAGCACATGATACAATCTTATTCTCTCTCACTTAAAACAAATGTACATCAATGTAAATAAATTATGAAGAATCCTCTTTCATACATAATTTGTTGGCATTATCTTGGTTGAGCAAGATTCAAAGTTACCATTGTTCATGGGCGTCAAAGTTGAGATTTTTTTGTGGTGAAGAGCACTGTTGTCATTCACATGAATGTCATCTAGCTTGTACTGTTGTAGCTCATGTTAGCATACCAATCAGCTTCACCTTGCGATGTCGTGTTTTATCATTCCACTTCGTGCATTGAGTTCAATCTGCAGACTTAAGTTGTGATCTCTGCGAGGCTGCTAAGATTAAAGTTCATTCGTCGTCGTCTTAGCAGTGAAGAGACAAAGGGTAGTATATCATCTTGTTGTACATAAAACTATGGGAAAATAATAAGAGATACCAGATTATATGATCATCACTGTCACTTGCGCTGTACAATATCATCCAGTCTTAGAAAAAGGCAATCAACAAAAAAAAAACACCACTAGAATTTAAATACATCCCATTCATTCTACGTGTTAATATGCTGCTCCGTTTTCTCGTAATAAGTATTACTATAAGCCCACACCAGGACAACAAAAGCGAATAGATATTGGATGAACAGATCAACTAGTCATCTACCCATTAGGTGTTTTGCACACGGCGTTGACGTGAAACTCAACAAAGATAATTGTTAAAATATAATTTGAAATTTAAAAATGTCAGAAAAGTTGCCAACGAAGGATATCAAACTATAATTATAAAGACAAAAAAGGGGATTCATATCGTTATGTAATCACTGAATCATGATATCAATACTTACTATATATCTCCGTAGCTATCACCCTGGTCGCCGTCCCTCTGGTCGTCGCCAGTCACAAGTCAAGTTCCGGTTGCCGTCGCCCTGGTAGGCTCCATCCTGATAATCATCGTTGCCGTCATCCTGTTCGTTGCTCTGGTTGCCATCGCCCTGGTAGTCACCCCAGCCGCCGCCCTTTTCCCTCGCTGAAAATTTAAACGAATAGACAATTTTATAATCTTGTATAATTAACATGTGTGATTTACTGGAGGAGAATGATGAACTATAACGGCTGCAATTTGTTGCCAATCATAGATTAAAAACCTGCATTAATTATGTTAACGTTACTAAGCACTACTTTGATACTTACTATATGCATTATTATCCGTAGCTCACCCTGGTCGCCGTCCCTCCGGTCGTCTTTGCCGTCCATGCCGTCGCCCTGCTCGGCTCCATCCTGATGATCATCGTTGCCGTCATCTTGTTCGTTGCTCTGGTTGTCACCCTGGCCGCCGCCCTTTTCCCTCGCTGAAAATTTAAACGAATAGACAATTTTATAATCTTGTATAATGAACACGTGTGATTTACTGATGGAGAATGATGACCTATAACGGCTGCAATTTTCTGCCAAACATGGATTAAAAGCCTGCATTATTTCTGTTAACCAGCCTTTGATAAACAACTATGAAAATATTAGAATTAGGAAGTAGAAAATTTCCGGGAATAGCAGTGTAGAAAGAAAGGTCAAGACAACATCTTTACGTAGGTCTCAAAATGCTGATTTCAAAATACCACACGCAAATGATTTGATTTGGTTTGATTTGATTGATTTATTTCTGTTGATTTTCTTTTTCTCTAGAATTTTTACAAATACACTGTATATAACAAACAAACATTGCAAATTTACTTTTGACAAAAGAATATATGTAGAATAAAGTAAGGCTGGCTGTTTCATTTATTTAGATAAGACCATTTATTTCCCCATAATCTTGCTCTATTTAAATATATACCTGGTTACCACCGTGGTCGCCATCGCCGTAGTCGTAACTTGGTAGCCGTCGCTACATCGTTGTCGTACCCCTGGTAAAATTATAAAAATGCAATGCAATTTGATTATGTGTTCATTCAGCATCTATACAGAATAGTACTAGGTAAGAGCTAGAATTACAGCTCTTAAAACGGGATTAAAAATCTCGATCTCAGCACCATTCCTCCTTTCCGAATCTCTTGGTTGAAAAGAGGCAACAAAATATTCCACTCTATCTTGCTCTTCCGTTACAACGTACTTTTAAAGTATTATTATTAATGTCTTTTTTCAGCAGCTTCTTAAATCCGAAGCTTCATTGATCCGAAGCGTAAATTCCAATTGTTTTTTATTGCGAAGGTTGATCATTGAAAACATAATTACATAATTATGAAATGTACATACAGATCGAACGCTATATCATTTTCGGAAATACGAACCAGCAGAACACCGAAACTTTGGTAAAACGAGTGCCCCTTCTGATAATAAAATTGTAATAATATTGCTTTAAATCTGGTCGTAGCTGCTTTACTCACCATCGCCTCGGTTCATCTGGTGGCCGTCTTTGTCACATAGTTTAAGTTGTAGCCCTGGCAGTCGTTCCATATCCCTTCCAGCAATCTAAATGATTAAACAACATTCCAATACTTTTGAATTTGTTACGAAATTGCGACAAATTTCATGTCGTAATATAAGTTGCGTTATACATTTTTATTGCCTTAGGAAAATAAAAGTTGAGAAAACGTTTTATCATCCCGTATTTTTACCTCGTATCCATGAAATACTACAACTGAATTCAGACGAGCTTTCAGGATTCATGCCCATGCATTATACGCTGACATTTCGGAAAGTATTCTCATGATTAGTCATATAATTGCATTCTATTTCAATACCACAAACCTTTGGTTGAGCAAAGCTAACAGTCCCCAAAAGAGGAACGTTGCAATATAAAGGCTAGTAATATTTACACTTTCACGTGGATCCAATCTGAAAACAGATTTCGAGTTACAACTGACTTATTCTGTCTAGGTCGCTTTGGGGAAAATATACCCCCCCCCCTAGCGCCCCCGTAGGATTTTAGTTTTATCAAAAGTAAAATACTCCACCATAATCCCTTCATCACCGTAGTCGTCATTGTGGTCGTCATTGTATGGCGTGGTCAGATCATCTTCATCTCTCATCTTCCTTCCACCTGTAGAACGAGAACTCTATTCAAACTGCATCACATTATATAGTTATTCATAATATTTGTTTACCCACCCACAAATTACAGTCCCTTCTTTTGAACAGTATTTTGCTTTCCATTTGGTCGTCATAATTACTTCGCCCTGTTTTTAATTCCAATTCATGCTTTTCACATTTCTTTCCAATTTGTAGCTGTGTAACCCATTAAAATATATGTCACTGTCAATTACTATTCTCCATCGTCGCATTTTCTCATTACATCGATATGTGTAACGGATCTGTTAGTCTTATGATAGAATAAGGAGTATTTTTATCTTTGCAAAATCAATTTGCTTCATCTAGGCCTAATTCGTTATTGTACTTCTCATTACATTCCATCGTTACATAGGACATACATTGCCAGCTCGGATACAAGACCGAGATAAGAACAATATTGCCATTAAAAATTATAACCTTGTTTTAAATATTATCCTTTTTCGTCGCATCGTTAATTCAAATAGTAAAATGATGTCTATATAATAATCTCTAAAAATGTATTCGGTTTCAAGTATTTTTAACTTCCAACGTTAAGATAATATATTGTACGGAGATCTGAAAACAATACTTATTGGTAAAACGTCCATTGCCGTTACGGAGATCAGAAAACAATTATTATTGGCCGAACTTCATTACGGGGATCTGAAAACAATACGAGATCTGAAAACAATAAATATTGGTGAGACTTCGTTGCCGATACAGAGATCTGAAACAGTAATCATTGGCTAGACTTCTTGCCGATAAGAAGATCTGAAAACCACAATTATTTGCGAGACGTCGTTGCCGATACAGAGATCTGAAAACAATAATTATTGGCGAAACTTCATTACGGAGATCTGAAAACAATAATTTTTGGCGTGACTTCGTTGCCGATACGGAGATCTAAAAACAAACAAAAAATGGTTAGACTTCGCTGCCGATAAGGAGACCTGGAAACAATTATTTGCGAGACGTCGTTGCCGATACGGAGATCTGAAAACAAACAAAAAAATGGTTAGTCTTCGTTGCCGATAAGGAGACCTGGAAACAATTATTTGCGAGACGTCGTTGCCGATACGGAGATCTGAAAACAAACTAAAAAATGGTTAGACTTCGTTGCCGATACGGAGATCTGAAAACAAACAAAAAATGGTTAGACTTCGCTGCCGATAAGGAGACCTGGAAACAATTATTTGCGAGACGTCGTTGCCGATACAGAGATCTGAAAACAAACCAAAAAATGGTTAGACTTCGTTGCCGATACGGAGATCTGAAGAAAAAAAAATGGTTAGACTTCGTTGCCGATAAGGAGACCTGGAAACAATTATTTGCGAGACGTCGTTGCCGATACAGAGATCTGAAAACAATAATTATTGGCGAAACTTCATTGCGGAGATCTGAAAACAATAATTTTTGGCGTGACCTCGTTGCCGATACGGAGATCTGAAAACAAACAAAAAATGGTTAGACTTCGCTGCCGATAAGGAGAGACCTAGAAACAATTATTTGCGAGACGTCGTTGCCGATACAGAGATCTGAAGAAAAAAAAAAAAAATGGTAAGGCTTCGTTGCCGATACGGAGATCTGAAAACAAAAACAAAAATGATTAGACTTCGTTGCCGATAAGGAGACCTGAAAACGATTATTTACGAGACGTCTTTGCCGATACAGAGATCTGAAAAAATAATTATAGGCGAAACTTCATTGCGGAGATCTGAAAACAATAATTATGGGCGTGACTTCGTTGCCGATACGGAAATCTGAAAACAATAAATATTGATGAGACTTCGTTGCTGATCAGGAGATCTGTTAAAAACAATAATTATTGGCATGACTTCATGGCCGATAAGGACATCTGAAAGCAATGATTATTGGCGTGACTTCATGGCCGATAAGGACATCTGAAAGCAATGATAATTGGCGATACTGCACTGCCGATACAGAGATCTGAAAACAATAATTATTGGCTAGACTTCGTTGCCGAAACGGAGATCTGAAAAAAAAATAATTGGCGATAATTCGTTGCTTGGATTGAGATCCGAAAGCAATAATTATTGGCGTGAGTTCATGGCCGATAAGGACATGTGAAAGCAATGATTATTGGTGATACTGCACTGCCGATACGGAGATCTGAAAACAATAATTATTGGCAAAACTTTGTTGCCGATACAGAGATCTGAAAACAATAATTATTGGCTAGACTTCGTTGCCGAAACGGAGATCTGAAAACAATAATTGGCGAGAATTCGTTGCCGGTATTGAGATCTGAAAACAATAATTACTTGCAAGACATCGTTGCCGATAAAGAGATCTGAAAACAATATTGATTGGCTAGACTTCTTTGCCGAAACGGAGATCTGAAAACGATAATTATTGGCTAGACTTCGTTGCCGATACGGAGATCTGAAAACAGTGAATATTGGTTTGACTTCGTTGCCGATAAGGAGATCCGAAAACAACAATTATTGGCGTGACTTCGTTGCCGATACGGAGATCTGAAAACAATAAATATTTGTGAGACTTCGTTGCCGATAAGGACATCTGAAAGCAATGATTATTAGCGATACTGCATTGCCGATACGAAGATCTGAAAACAATAATGATTGGCAAAACATTGTTGCTGATACGGAGATCTGAAAACAATTATTTGCGAGAAGTCGTTGCCGATGCAGAGAGCTGAAAACAATAATAATTGGCGAGACTTCTTGCCGAACCAGAGATCTAAAAACAATAATTATTCGCGAAACTTTGTTTCCGATACAGAGATCTGAAAACAATAATTGGCGAGACGTCGTTGCCGATGCAGAGAGCTGAAAACAATAATAATTGGCGAGACTTCTTGCCGAACCAGAGATCTAAAAACAATAATTATTCGCGAAACTTTGTTTCCGATACAGAGATCTGAAAACAATAATTGGCGAGAATTCGTTGCCAATACGGAGATCTAAAAACAAACAAATCTTGATGAGACTTCGCTGCCGATAAGGAGATCTGAAAGAAATAATTATTGGCGAGACTTCTTTGAATGATTTTGTCTTGCAAATGTTTTTGTTTTGCAAGTAAATGTATGAAATATTGCTTTGACCAACTGCAGAATACCCCGCCACGCAAAAAAAATCTTAACTCTTTTTCTATTCCTAATCATAACCCTAACCCTAACTCTAATCAGGACAGGAGGGAAGCTAATCCTAAAACTAACATATTATGTTGATGCGTGGTAGGGTATTCTGCAATTGATACTACAAATTGAACTACACAATACTGCACCAATACCAATCCTACCATTACTGATACAATTAAGCACAAAGAACTAGAACTACCCCTTTCCTTTTTATTTCTTGGTCAATGTATTCATTACATATAATGTTTAATAGCAATGCCAAATATATTAGCTACCTCTACCAAAAAAAAATTTTCATTGTCCTAGTTGTTATTTTCCGTCGTCGTTTTTTTCTTATTAGATCGGTATGTATGATAGGCATCATCAATTACTAATGCCAAAATCTCTACGAAATGCCCTCTTATTCTCCTATTATAGATCAAGCCTTCTTCGTAGTTATTCTGATTATCAATCATCAATTTAATACTAAATCAGCCATTACCTATTAATCATAACATTATCCATATCTAATGCTTGGATAGCAATATTATGTTCATCTCTAAAAAAAAATTATAATCCACCTATTATAGATCTATGCTTTTTTGTATTATCATTTATTATTTTGATAGTCATCAATCATCCATCATCATCATAAATTACTTAATCAGCCATTACCAATTAATCATATAATTATCTATATCTAAGGCTAGGATATCAATAATTCTACTTTCCTACCACTACGTCAATATTTCATATATCGTAGTTCTTTTATTCTATATTTCAGATTAAATCGATACATATATAACGTAAAAGCATAGTTTACTTAAACAATAACACAATATGTTTACTTTTATTGTGTACTAGTGCACAAATCTATTGGTATCGGTACATTATTATGTAGGCATTGATTTGCACATGGTCAGGAAAGACCATAGTAAAAAAAAAAAAAGCGGATCGCATAAACTTCATAAAGGATATTTTTGGAAGATCAGTATTCAATTGAATTTACGATTTCCGGTTCATTTTGTATATCATTTGACTGTGCAAATCGATGCTATCTTACAGTATTTCTAGGCAGTAATAATCTAATAATATCCATTAGGTCAAAAATATTTATTTCACCAAATCCACAGTAAATATACCAATAAAAGTAATTCAATAAAAACGAAATCAAATGTCAAGGCGAAAATATTTATGAATTCCAAAGTAAATTTAATAATATCTTACCATACTTACAATGTACCATAGAAGATATTCTGGATTTTGAATCTTGTTAGAAATTGATGGGTGTTTCTTCTCAAGAACGTTCCCGCGATGTGACGTGTTCGCAAAGGAATAAGAAGTTTATAGTTGTCCATTTCCAACCCAACAATCTTCGTGATATGGAGTCTACAATATTCTAAGATGGGTAAGGGTGGATTAAAACCAGGCCCTTACACTACTTTAATATTAATTAGGGGCCTATGTGTATCAATGTTGTCCTAACGTTTAGATTTGGCCAAGCTCAAACCCATCCTGACCCATCTCAGTGTATTTTAGAGCTCCATCAAAATCACAAGTGATATTGCTGAATTTTCTGCAGACAACTTTCACTAACCCCGACATCTATTTGTTCAGTCTCAGCATTCTCCGGTTCAGTCTAGCAGGAATATAATCCAAATGATTGAATTTCCATCCAAATATTTCCTTGCACACACATAAATAGGACCCAATAGAATTTCTCAGACAATCGTCGATTCTGGTCCATCCTCACCTGTATGCATGGCATGAAAATATAATAAAAGCCATTTAAATTCATGTCATATTTTGTAGAAAATTAAAATGATGTCATCAGGCTTTTCAAAGTTGGGGGGGGGGCATTTCGTGAAGGAGCTAGGGTGTGGAAACGGGTAGCCCCTTAGAATGTGTAAATTCGGGGCGTTTTTTAATTTGCTTTATAATGCACTTTTGAGAAAGAAATTTCAATAAAAGTGATGTTAGCAGGCTTTCAAAAGTGTTTTTTTTTTTTTTTTTTTTTTTTTTGGGGGGGGGGCTTCGTGGGGGAGCTTTAGTGTGGAAGATGGTAGCCGTCCATAAATTTGTAAATAGGGGGTGTTATGAATTGGCATTTTGTGCACTTTATTTCAATGATAACAATTTCAATGTCAACAGGCTTTCAAAAGTTGGGGGAACTTTGTGAAGGAGCTGTGGTATGAAAGGGGGAGCTGGGGTGTAGAGGGGGAGCCCCCTCTTCAGGAATTTGTCAATTTGGGGGCGTTATAAAGAGTAAAAAATGGCTCAATCTCGGGAAGGGAAAGTGCTGTAATTTTGCAGACTTTTCGAGATAGATTTCGATATGGTACTATTTGCAAGATTAGGAAATGGCGATATTTGATAGAATGCTTCGCAAGATAAGTAATATGGGCATCGAGTGAATTTATAGATTGTTTGAATTATAGTTTTCTTTGTCAGGCTTTACCTACTTGAATGTACGTAAACCCAATTTCATCTAACTTCATAACCTAAAGCTATTAGATAAGTCTGACAAAATGCCCATGATATATAAGATTTTCACAGTAATTCACTCAATCAATAGTTTTCTCAATTGACTGAAGAGTCGGGTAATAATTTCTAGTCTTCGTCGGAAATTTTGTCAGTGGTACCTTGCCCCTTGAAATATGCTACTTAAACGCCTGAACCTATTTGATGTTATCTTCTAGAACATTTTGCAGATCTATTGACAAAGGCTAAGGAGAAAAAATATATCTCACAAACTGAACTTACCAAACTGAGCGCCTCAGATAGGTTCAAGCTGTCCCCTGGATGTCAGCTTCTCTGGGGGATGGAGGGGTCGACAAACTAAACCGAACATCATTTTCCTTGAGCGAATAGAAAACCTGGAAAAACAAACAAATAAATACCACTGTATGTAAACGTGAATCTTGTTATATTATATGCCAGAATGCCTAAACATGGTAGAATGCACCTAATACGTCTTGTTGCTAGGTCAGACAAGCATAATGGCTTGTCCGACCTCATAATACCTGTAGATATGTGTAGTCTGAATTCTCATTATTAAGAAAACAGGTGGGTGCAATCATAATGGCTTGCCCTACCTAACTAGTAATTTGCATTGTGATTATTGAAATTATTCGTGAAACGTATCCCATTTCAAACCACATAACGGAAATAGCCTTTTGCACACGTTAACAAAAGAGCGAGGGGTGGAAAATGCAATGGGTAGTATGATCACATACATATTATGGCCTTGATTAGTCATAAACTAAAAGGGTATTTTGAAATATAGAATTAATATTTTGAAAAAAGACTGAGAGATTAAAAAAAAAACAAGAAAAATGTTACACTTTCCCGCTTTTAAAGATACAAAATATCAAACTTTCAGAAGTTATAACCTTTAAGATATTATCAAAAAATGATTTTTAAAGTATTCAGTGTAAGGTCACACGCTCTTTTAAAAAATGCAGCGGTAGTTTCAGGGGGCTCAGGGGAACGTGCCCCCTGGAAAACAAAATCTCATATACCTTCAGTATAAATCAAATACAAGAGAACATGAACTTTATTGTGTCCCCCCCCCCCCCTCCTCCACTCCGGCGAGAAATTCATGGATCCGCCACGGTCAGACCTTGATACCGATTAAAGATTTTTCAGTATGCTTCTCCTGTGTGTCAGTTTCCAGGATAGACGAATATTGAACACTTTTTTTTTCTTTCTCTGACGAATAGAAAATCTGAAAAGTGAGCAAAGTATAACACACCATTTGAAGATTTAATCTCAAGATTTCGTGACGAATGAGGTAAAATATAAATTAATAGTATCAGCTTTGGGGGTCATCGAACCTGGTATGCCATTTATGAAAAATATGAAAAGGAAAATTCATATATTCTTTCAGTTTTTTCCTATCATTATAGCTAGCATTGATAAGGAAAAAGTGTATTGAGAAACAAAAAATGAAATTCACTCGTTCTAAAATTTGAATTACATTTGAGAAATTCCTTTCCCAAGATCCATTACCAAACACACTAAGAAATGTATGCTAGTTTGTTTTTCAATGTAATCCCAGGCTATGATTGATAATGGTTTTATTGAGAATAAAGGAATAACAAGGCCGAATCGGGCAATGTTTTGATAGTTTTATCAATTGACTGAAGAGTCAGGTAATTCGTGTGATCTTTGACGGACATTTTGTCAGTGGTGCCTTGTCCCCTTGAAATATGTTGCCTAACTTAACCGATTTTATGTTATCTTCTAGGGCTATTGACAAAGGCTAAGGATGAAAAGTATATCTTACAAACTGAACTTACCAAATTGAGTGCCTCAGATAGGTTAAAGTTGTCCTCCGGATGTCAGGGTCTTTTTAAGAGGGAAGGGGGGGGAGAATCGACAAACCAAACTGTACTCCATTTTCTTGGTCGAAATCTGAAAAGCAAACAGAAATGCCAATATAATCTTGTTATTTTTGCCACAATGCCTGAATATGGCAGAATGCACGTATTACGAATTATTGCTAGGTCAGACAAACAATGGTTTGTCCGGCCTCATAAACCCTATTGATGTGTGCAGCCTGTATTCTAAATATTAACATAACAGGTGGATTTAATAATCTATCATTAGACACACACAACAAGGAAGCAATAGCTAAGTAGAACATTTTTAAAGTTAATTCAAATTTATGCATTTATGCATTATGTATTCAAATTGAGTTATACCTAGAGACGAGTTATTACATTCACCTGTCACGAATGATTATATTTAAATTGTCAGAATGCACACTGCATACGTACGTTAGATGTTGCCAGGTTAGCCAAACATTATGGCCCGAATTCACAAAGGAGGTTTGTCGACAAACCTTGGTTTTCGTACGTCATATGACGCGTTTTACGCGTTTTTTTACAAACCTGGTTTGTAAAGAACAAAAGGAGGTTTGGCGAAACAAAAGGAGGTTTGAGCTCAAACCTTGGTCTGAGCTCAAACCTTGCTTTGTGAATTCGGGCCAATGGCTTTCCCTATCTAACAACAAGTAATGTATGCAATTTGCATTCTGACTATTGAAATACGTATTATTCATTTACCTGTTTACGAATAATTGTATCGGGGCATTTCACAAATACGTGTGCATTAAACTTGGTTACATAACGATGATGGCCTTTTACATGGAGAAAAAAAAGGTGTGGGCAGGAAAACCCGATGTGTAGTATAGTCACATAAATATTATGGCCTTGACCAGTCAAAAACTAAAAGGGTATTTTGAAATAAAGAATTAATATTTTGAAAAGAAGACGAATCAAGAAAAATGTTACACTTTCCCGCTTTAAAAGGTACAATATCAAAAAGGGGGCTCAGGGGCACGTGCCCCCTCGAAAAAAAATCTCATATACCTTCAGTATAAATCAAATAAAAGAGAAAATGGCCCTAATTGAGTTCCCCCCCCCCCCCCGTACTTTACTCCGGCGAGACAATCGTGGATCAGACCTTTATATTTGTTAAGGTTAGCCTGAATACTACAAATTAAGCTCTACTGATGCGTTTATATCAATTTCTTACCAAACTGGACTCCTTGTTTTTTAATGCTGCCCCTCTATAACAGTTTCCTTGATAGACGATGATAGAATGATGATGATGATGCATCTTTCTCTGACGGATAGAAAATCTGAAAAAGGAACATAGTATAACAAATTGTTTGAATTTTTTATCTCAAGATTCGATGACGACTGTGGTAAAATTCAAATCATAGTATAGGTTTATTGTGTCATCGAACCTGGTGTGCCATTTATGAAGCATTTAAAACGAAAAATTCATTCATTTCTTTCATTTTGTCCTATTTTTCTATCATTACAGATAGCATTGATAAGAAAAAAAAGTATTGAGAAGAACAAAATATTCAAATTAACTCCCATTTTTTTTCAAAGAAAAAAAAAACCCACTTAAATGTTATTACATAAGATATGCCCTTTGGTTAAAAAAAGGGATAAATTAGCTAAAGATTCGTGGGCTTAAGGGATGCATTTTTGTTTTGGCATGATTAGACTTCTCCTGCCCGAATTAATATCAACATTGCAGTTATCATAACTTTTTAAAAAAAGTGACTCTTTATTTATTTATTTTGTCATCAGAATAAGATTTAGAAGAGATCATAGAGCAAAATGCGACTCGCTGCTCAAAATGGCGATTACCCAAATATGTCTTTGATGTGGCGGCTGCCGAATTAACAACAGCAACAAAAACCAGGTTATCAAATTTGTTAAAGAATCTTACATTCATGAATATGTTCAAAATGATTAAAACATTTTCAGATAACCATTAAAAACTGAAAGGGAGTATTGATAGAAAACACTCTGAAATTACGTCGGTTCTCGAATCTAAACATCTCACAGATAAAACCACTTTTCCCAAAACTTTGATAACCCATACTGAGTATAAAAAATATAAAAAACAATTGTATTAAATTAATTGATTAAATAAAATGAAAAATCATCCGTAGTCTTCATCAGAAATGTACTTGATTTCAATTCTGTTTATTTGAGAAACTAGACCAGTCTCTCTCATGCAAATAAAGTTGTTCCAAATCCAATTAGAGTATTACGTAGCACCATAAGCGTGTTTAATAAAAGCAAACGATGCGATGAGAAACGACCCTATCCCCTATTAAAAGTTAGTGTTTTTTGAGCTGATTGTACTATGACTTACCTCATCGAAAACATTATAACAAAAGTTTCCCCAAGAATGACGAAACATAATCCTAGCTAAAGGGTTCCCGTGACATAACTCGACTTCAAAGGTTTCGACTTCAAAAACGACTTCGACGAGAACGACGAAACATAAGGCCTAGCTTAAGGGTTCCCGTGACCTAATGAAACTAAACGATGAAGATATAACTAAAAAGCTCGGACCCAGTGACCTTCCCCAATGTTATCAGTACTAACCAATCAGCTGCAATTTTCTGTACCTTGATTGCCACATGACTCAACTTTAGCCAATCCTCAACCAGAGTCACAAAACTGCCTCCACGAGGACGTCAATCCGAAATGTTCAAGAACAAAAGAGCACGTGCTTTCAGCCTCTCAAAATAGGCGTGGCTTACGAGGCCAAAACTATGTCCGGTAACGAAAAGTGAAATGTACACAAGAATCTTATGGCCACGCGACTATGAATAGGCTGCAAATAACACGAATGTCATTAATGTTAATAACAGGCTGGTGTGCATACCAATACGGTCACCTGTATTAAATTTCGTTATGACTGACATCTCGTGCAGGGACCGTCTCAAATTAAGGGGAAAATCGCCTGCTTTTATAAACGAATAAGTGCATACGTTACTCAATCCCTGAAGCCTACCTGTTTTGTGTGTTAATGCAATTTTCTATACTTCTTTAATAATTTACAACTCTCATGTTTAAAGCCCTCACCTGTACAGTTGACTGGTCTAGCGCCCCCCTATACTCAGTAGCGGTCCCGAGTCATTATAAACAAATCATCAAGTGACGACCTTTGACATAGTAAACTGTTTTTTTTTTTAATTTGTCTTAGTTGCACATGATATTACGTCACTGATAGCATCTCATGTAATTTTTTATTAATTAGTTTTATGATTAAAGATGAAGTTGAGTTCTGGTCATACGATTACATTGTGAAACAAACGGTGTGGAATTAACCTGGACCATATGTACAATTGGTTTGTTTGTAATAAATTATCTATAAATATTTTGAAAACTAAATTTGAAATTGTCAGGAATAAACATGATAAAAGACCTGACTACTCTGACGTTAAACTGGAACTAAACGGGTCTGAGATAAAACAATGTTCTACTTGTACATGCCTAGGCGTGCAGTTAGATGAATTTCGCACTCTCACATTATTAGTAGTAAGATATCATAAATTATTGGGATAATGAATAAGGTGGAATGTACATTACATCAAAAACTGTTATTTACCATGTGTAATACCTTTATCCTACCTCATATTATGTATTGCAATGTGGCATGGGCTACATTGCATGCATCTAAATTATCACCAATACATCGTCTTAAAAAAGAACAATTCGATTTTGTGCCAATGCTCATTTTCTACCCTTCTCTACTTTTATTCCGCCGTTTATTTCAATATTGAATGTGTATGATTCTAACAAATTATCGATCGCTTCTTTGATGCACAAGTTTTTTGCCAAACGTCTCTCTCCTTATCTTATTCAAAAGTTTTGTTTTTAATCAATATGTCCATGCCCATTCTACTCGACAGTCAGCCGAATTCCATCTCTGGATAACAGAAACTAACATGCTTTCGAAATCAGTTCGTTACCTTGGCCCCATTATCTGGAATTCCTTGCCTCCTGACATTCAATACACACAATTCAATGCACTCTTTAAGAAACGAATAAAAAGATTCCTTCTCTCGACATTATACAATTAAATAAAGACATTCCCACTCGGCTCTGTAAAGTACTGTAATGTGGCGTCGCACCGGCCTTGCTTTCGGGGTTGTTGGTTCTGAACAGCCACACCCCTCCGGCCGCCTGCTGCTTGAATGGTTTTACGGTGTACCTCTTGTGTAGGCTCTGATGTCATTTTGAGCTGGTAGCCTTGGCGACCGGCGGGTGTAGCGTTAGTGCTTCGGCACATAGCTTGTCCCGAAGTGCTGACGTAATACTCATCTGCTTTCCCAAGAGGGACTTTTAGATTTACACGACGAGAGCGTGGACTGCCGCGTGTGACATTGTGTTACGGCACTGGGTGTGCCCGGCAGTGCCTTAAAAGGACGTCACATTACCTTAAAAGAACGTGGCGGTCCACGTTCTCGTCGTGTAAATCTAAAAGTCCCTAATATTTCGAGTGGCGAGCTCGGTTGGGATGTGCTTTTGTTTATTATTTTGTTGGTAGGCTGCTCCTGTACATTCTCTGTCGTTAACATGATTCATCTGAATATATAGCTATTATTTTTGTTTATATATATATATATATATATATACATATTGTTGATGTTTTTGTTTGTTTTTGTTCTGGTGATTCCCTCCTAACAAGCCCCTGAGACTTTTTTGGGGGCACCCTTTTCTTTCATTTCTTTGCATTTCTTTGTATTACTAGCTCATTTATATATATTTTACTCTGTTATCAGATATATTGATGTAAACATGAAATAATGCATTTTTTTGTAATTGTTAATATTGGAAAAAATTAATGAGAGATATATGCTCGCTCAATCCCCCCCCCCCCCAAAAAAAAAACAACAACAACAACAACAACATACTTTCAATTTGAATGCAGTTTGTTTAAAACACAATTTAATCAGGAGTTGTGTAAGGATTGCTAACAAACATGACAAACTATATTCTTCAACTCGAATCATATAGCCCGCAACTTCCGAGTTATTTCGGATCGAATGTTTTGAGCTTGCTACACAATAGTGCTCAGCAGCTGT